TAAGAGAGTAAATTGATAGTTGACATGGCAGCTTTTCTGTTTTAAGAAATCAAATGCTTGCTTATGTTTTATGGTGTAAATCTTTGATGTTCAGTGCTACACATAACTTCTTCAGCTGTGTAATTTGTCATGAAATCTTGAGCTTTTTATTTTTGAAGTGGTACTTTATATTTATTTCTGTTGCTGAATTTTCTATATGTAGACAGTTTTAAAAGGTCTAGCAGCCTTTAATTTCAGTATCCTCAATTAATTATGAAAGAAGTTCTAGATTCAGCACTTTCATATATGATGTAGTCTGAATAAAGTATTTTTTGGTGGCAATGCAGAGATTTTTAAAGCATTGTAAATATGATTTCTTGATTTCTCTTATAGTATTTTTCTTGATTTTCAGTGCCCACAAAATTTATTAAAGGAAAATGTAAATGGCTTTTTCTCTATGCAGAGTCATTTAAACAAGACTCCAAAAATAGAATACCCAGAATCTGTTCATTTCTCTCATTAAAAATAAAGTTATATGTATTGAACATTATCTATTAAGACATATTATGCTTATTCTAGCCATTTAGTCAGTAACTGACTTGTGACTTACAGAAAACATTACAGTTTAATCCCACTTACTCATTTGGCCTAGGTAAGGCAATGATCACTTAGCCCTAAACTTTTATTCATTTATATTGAATTTGCTCACCCTCTCGTTCTAGTATCCTTTCAGAATTAAGGATAAAAATCAGAGTTAATAACCTCTTCTGGGATAATAATAATTTCTCCTTTTTATTTTTTTAAAAATGATATTACAGGAAGGTCTCAACTGTCAGAAACCACCAGAGGAACTTTCTCAACAATATTGGTGGCACGAAAGCTAAAACTTGAAAATTTACTCCTTGCTACCAAAGCTTACCAACTTTTTGCCTGAGGAAGTAAATATTTTATAGGCTCTAATAACTTAATTTATAATTTAAAATGATTTAAAAATTGAAAAGTAAAATTATTCAATGGAATAGAGCAATAGTTGGGATATCTTTGTAACATTACAATGGAATTATTAGATCTTATGAAATATACAATTAAGAGCAGCTCTATTCCTTTTTTAAACATAATATTACAAAATAATTATAATTTCATAAGGACCAAAAAATAGGTCTGTTATAATAAAAAATAATTTCTGAGATAAAAACTTTATGTGTATCAGGTATACTTCTTAGGGTTTATGGTGTTGGATTTTCTGGTTTTTATTACTGTTCATGTACTGCTTTTACTATTGTTTACCTCGCACGTGCCTGATTGACATTATGATGCATTCGTGTGGAAATTATGAAAAGTTGTTTTCATGCAGCTGTCCTGTAGTTACAAAAGAACTTCACTGCATGAAAAGCAAACATATTATTCAGCAGACAATGCTTAATCTGTTCAGGAGCCCAAACCTATTGCTGTTCAATGACAGAAGAAAGGAGAGGGATTAATTTGAAGATGCTTGTGCATGACATATGGTAATTTCTCCATAGGAAGGAAGTGTCAAATGGTGACCTCTAAATCTTAACATTGACCTCCAGTTGTAGAATGTGTGTGCCATAAGGTCCTTTTGCCTTTTCATATGATAATTTAAGCTGAAACATTTTCCTGGTAACATAACTTTTTTTGAGAGGGGGAGAGTGCATCTATTCTATAAGGATTATAACATTCACAATACTTACTCTGATAATATAAAGCATTTGGATCAAAAAGTATTTTCGAACTCCAAAAAATGAAGCTATGTTAGAATTCTTCTAACAAAAGTTAAGTGTAATATATACTATACAAGTTGGTATATTTTTAATTGAGTTTTTATAAAATGAGTATGGAAAATTGAAATGATCTCAGTAGATATTGGTTTGAGACATTAACAAATAATTTATACATGTTAGAAAATAAATTATTAGAAAATATATAATTGACAATATGAAGACCAACATAAACTTTTCATTACGTAATACATTTTAAAAATTGAGTTACATTTTCGCTAATTTTTCACATGTCATCTTTTCATTGTAGCCTTAGTTGTTTTAGAACTTTTCTGTATTAGTTGATACATCATTCAACTTTAATATTAAATAGGTTTTGGTTTTAAGAGGAATTTGAACTACACTGTGATTATTGTTCAATAAAATATATCATTTCCCTACTGTAATCCTTAATGATCATACCCCTCTGATTAAAACATCATTTTTCAGTTCTACATTTACTATATTTTGCCGACTTTGTTTTTCACTCTTCACTAATACTGAGCTTTTTTTCAGAAACTGCTCTACCTCAATTCTCTCTCTTTTTTTATTTCTTCTTTTTTCCTCTGCAAGTTCCTGCACCTGTCATTTCCGTTCGGTCTGATGCTGATCACTCTGGCTCTGACCCTGCTTCTACTCCTGCTTTACATACCTGTTTCTTAGTAAATGAAGGTATTCTCTCTCAATTTTCTAACAATTTTCTTTTGGTCTATGCTTTATTCTAATATGACATATTCTTTTTATCTAATTTATACATTTATCTACTTTGTTGTGTATGAGATCATAAAGTTTCCATTTTATAACTTTGTTTGCTAATGTCAATGATAAAGGCCAGTTATAAAAATGTAATGTTACTCCTGGCTGGAATAAACCACGTTTCCTGTAACCTAGAATGCCATTAAAGATGTACAAAGATGCTAATCTTTGATGTGAAGTAGGTGTGAAAAGTGGATTGGTTTTCATGATGATGTTTGCCATATGATCTCTGGTGTTAGAGCTATTAATTTATTTTATGTGTATCATTACTGTGAGAGATACACTTTCCTCCCTTTGCACACCATGAGCCCCGGTTAGAGGGGGATATGGTGGCTTTCCTAATTTACATTCTCATTTGGAAAGTCTCCAGAATGATAATTAGCACCAGTGATTGTAGATTGATAGCAATTCACCCATTTTATCCTCCTTACTATTTCTCTTTCTGGCAAAAATTGGTTATTTCAAATTTTAAGATGTAGTTAGACTATCATATTATCCCAGTGGAGTTACACTAGTGGAAAGCATTTTTGGAATGAAATCCACAAGCTTTTATACTCTAAGAGCTGTCTGGGATTATTTATACTACCTGGAAGCTTAATGGAACTTGTGAGCTCTGAGTTATAACCACTCTCTTTGTTGTGGGCTCAATCTTCACCAGTTTGTATAATATGAAGAGGAGGAAATTTGTCAAATCTTGAGTGTGACTCAGAATGATTCTGACCACTCTTCACTAAAAAGCCACATTACTAGTCCATTCAGATGGAAAGAATGGTGCCGTATCTGTAAGTACCAAGCCTATGCTCTAAGTACTAAAGAAGCATGGTAACTTAAATATATACCTCACTTTTTGTTTGGTTTCCCTGTCATAGACCTAATGTTAGTATGTTAAGACTGGATTTTAGCAACAATAATTAGGCCATATTTGTTAAGCTTTTGTGAAAGATAGTAATTTGTTGATCCAAAAATAAGCTTTGACTTTGAGAATGATGGTCATATCAAAATATAGCTCATAAATACACTTCCTACTTTCGATTCATTAAAACACTTTAAGAAATTACTAGGCAGTAAGTGATGTTTATGTATATCTATATGTGTGTGTGTGTGTGTGTATATATATATAAAACATATACTTTTATATATATATATATAAAAAATATATGTGTCCCGCTGTTGAAAAGAAATTATAACTTAAAATGTGTGTACTCATCACTTTAATTAATGTAATTATATATTATCAGTTGATGAGAATTTCCTTACTGAAAGGACGAATCTTTAGATAGGTGGCTTGTCTCTCACTCACTCTCTCTTTTTAACAATTCCAGTAATCATTTTGAGGTAGGGTTTTATTGTTGTTTTAGAAGATTACAGTTTAGATTATTTCAAAACATCAGTTTGCTGAAATTCTATGATCATAAAAAGCTCGCCTTATAATATGGGTGTAGACAATTTTTTTGCATTTATTCTTTGTTATTTGTCCTTAAATGTTATCTCCAGGAAGTATGGTAATTATTATGGATTAATGTGGCTTTATATATAATGGTAATTATTATGGATTAATGTGGCTTTATATATAATTTGTGGAGAATGAGACATTTGTTGTGTGTGTGTGTGTGTGTGTGTGTGTGTGTGTGTGTATA